ACTCGTGTTTCACTGCTTTCCATTCCCATTTAGGCTGGTCCGGGCTTCGAGACTCGTGGCTCTCCAAATTGTTGTACGCATTTCTGGTATCTCAGCTTTTGTGGCCGGCGCAAACTCTTTGGCAGAGTGTGCCAATTGTAAGACTAGGTGATGATACATCAGCTTCAATTTCTTTATTTTTCTTCTGTAGCGCACTAGTTATTAGAGTCTTTTCGGGTAGTCTGGGTGATGAAAGGTTCATTCAGTTGTCTTAGCTCGTCCTCTGTACTCATGTAGTTCGGTAGCACTCTTTTCTGTCTGCAAATGTATCCAGGTTCTCTTTTCCACCTGCGATAATGTTCTTACAAGGTAATCGGTGTGATCGCTAGTATTCTCATTAAAAATAAATGATTTTTCAATCTCGGACCCTTAAGAGCTTGCACCTTTTCGGAAAAGAAAATACTCCTAAGTATTCGAACGAAAGCGAACAGTCAATGTTTGTTGGGGAGGGCTTTAGCTTGCAGATAGAAATTTTTTCGACTTTTGTGTAAGAGTTCTTGCTCTGAGCTCGCATCAAAGACTATCAAAATGATATTCGTAAAATAAAAGTACATCGTGGTGCATCTTAGTTGTTTATAGAAGAAATTTGGGACTACGCCTATCCTCTTTCACAGGTACCATAATATGAGTCAGCGATACGTTGAAAATCTGAGTTTGAAATAACTGTACTGTAGGTAGTGAGCTTGAAGATGATTTTCCTCGAACCAGTTGAATAGTTTTGACTATCACCATCTTCTTTTAAAGAAAAACAACCCATTTCATGGGTATTTTTCTATTCAATTAGAAATCTCATTCAGCAGTATTTTCATTACCACAAGCATTCCAAATTTAAACGCCATCATTCAACGTGAATAATGAAAAATGAAAGACACCACACTAATCTCAACTATGCTTAGATGTTACCGTGATAGCCTCGACATTGCCAGCTGAAAGCAGCAGCTATACAAAAATTCTGTTTGACGCCGCCTATTGCCACTTATATTTCATACAATTTGTGTCCGCAAGACAATAACAGACCTTGCAACTAAATATAAATATATATAATCGTGTATGTATACATGTGTGTGTGTGTATGTAGTTTGTATGAAATTCTCCAAGCGACAAAGGCGACACTGACAATGACAATATGAGCGTCGAGCATTTGAACCTTTTACCCAGGAGTCCTCAAAAACATCTTAAATGCCGTGCACTTTGGCTGTTGCCATTGGCAACAAACAAAACGTAAACAATTTGAGAAAAATTGTTGCAAAAAAAGTAGCAACAGAACAAAATGAAATAGATGAGAAAATAAAAATGAATGAAATGAAGGTGACGAAAGGAAGTGTGAAGACAAAAGCGTAGAATCTGAAGTGCAGCTGTTGGCGACACAAATGACAGTCGGGAAGTACACCCGCATACATATATGTATTTATATCTACAGATTTGCTGCAATTTGGCAGATGAAAGCGAAAACAAACACACATAGGTATACACATACGTATGCATGTTGTCATTAGTATTTATAATTATGTTTGTATTGCACGATGTTATTGGCGCTGCATTTATGTACTACATCTAAATGTGTTTTTCGTCTTGAGTACGAACGAGTATTTATATATATTTGTGTTTGGCAGTTGCATTAGCCAAATTAAAGTGCATTGAAAACTGTTTATATTTGCAGCGTATGTAAGTATGTATACTAGTATTAGTGAATGAGTAGCAGATGAAGAATATTTGATAGTGAAAGTGAGTGAGAGATCAATTTACATGCGTGAATGTGAGAAAATCAAAAATCGAAGGTGACGACACTGAGTGGCGCACCACCGCCAAGGATAGACAGACACAAAGCGATAATCATTAAAATGGAATTTTCAAAAGTTCCTTTATATTTACATATTTATTTTTACACTTGTGTTTGAATTGGTGTGATTGCCACAAGTACACACTACCACTCTAAAGAGATGCTCCATATATCTAAATGCGTATTTGAAGAGAAAAAAGCGAAAGCAAGGTTAAAGAACAAATTATGTCGTGAACAACATGTTAAATAAAAAATATATATGCACGAAATGGAAAAGTTATATATTTTACCAAGCTTTTTACACTATTTTATATGTATATATATATATATATATATATAGATATTAATGCATTGCGATATGCCATCCATTTAGTTATAAATTAAAATAATTATCGCTTCTAACATTATCATATCCCTGCAACTGAAGGTCAAAAAAATTGTTCAACTTAATCTCGTTTTAATTGTTTCCTCTTATTGTTATTATCATCATTTCCGCTTTATTTGGGCAATAAGAGCTGCCATGAGCTTTGCATGTATTTTTAGAAGAATAAAACGTAATGTGTTTATTGCAAAAATAGCAAGGAGATAATAAAAACATTTAAGGACAAATGATTCGTATTTAACTAAATGAGGCATATTGACGGTTATGGTAAAATAAAACATTTAAAGTCATTAAAATTTTGCCGTAGCTAAAACCGGAAGCATTTTGAGCTTTTACTCAAACTTTGAAAAAAAAAAAAACTTTCATTGTTTGGCAACAAAAAAATTCGGCAGGATCGAAGGTTAGTACTGATAAAATAAATCAGTTTCTGTTCACAAAAAAAAAAAAAAAAACCAAAAATCCATATTGGTTCAACTCATGGCCCGGAGAGGCTACTTAACAGCTGAAATTTACGAGGCGTGACAATTAAGTTATGAAACTGATTACATTGCCGTGATTGCGGTTACCCTGCGATCTTGAAATTTCCTTTCTCTTCTCCCGGCATCCTTCTCCTCTTCACTGATGTATTTGGCATTGCTCTAGTTTGTTTAGCTTGTTTAGTTCGCCTGCTGTGTCGTGTTAACTAAACGTGTGCTCGTGGAACTTGTGACGAATATAAAAAGAGACGCAGAAGACTGTTTGGAATAAGTGGTAAGCAGTTCCTCGCTGCTTGATCGAGTTATTACAGGCGATGGGAGATGGTTTTTTCAATATAACTCGGAACCCAAGCGCCAAAGCCCACCAAAAGCTCGCATGAGCAAGTCGAAGGTGAAAACGATGATTATTGTAGTAATGGAATAGTCCACAAATAATTTCTTTCACAGGGGTAAACCTAAATTAAGTCTACTATAGTCAAGTATTCGAAGGAGTATGAGTCAAAACGAGTCAACAGGGTTCGCCCAGATGTTGCAACAACCGCCTTATTCACCCGATATGTCATCCTGTGACTTTTTTTTTTGTTCCATAGAATAAAATCGGTGGTCAAAGAAACCCATTTTGAGTTGATTGGAGATATCCAGGTGGCCGTGACGAGGGTACTTGTGGACATCACAGTGGTAGCGTTTTAGAAATGCGCATGAAAAACGCGCTTTAGTCGTTTTGCAGCTGCCTAAGAGGACTACTTTGAAGGGGATGGTAGAGTTGTCGAAAAATTCTGAAAAATACAGTTTTTATGGAATCAGTTTTATTACTATATTATCACACCTCGGATCACTACATTTGTTGTGAAAACTCAGCGTAGAAGAGCGAATAAAGAAAGCATTGTCGGCCATATATACATACATGTAAAAGTATGTTGGGCTGCCCTAGAGGATTGGAGTGAGAAGGTGCTCTCTCTCACTGGATTTTCGTTGCGAATGTTAAGCTAGAAATTTTCTATGTTGCTTTAACGTAGTGGAAGGCTAAACACATTACAATATATTTGGATAGGCTGGGAAGGGGCATCAGAATTTCAATGGTCGGCGTCATCGGGGCACTCAATACAGTCCCTTATGCAGCGCTACGTGTGATTTTGAGGTTTACCCCAGCAAATCTAGTTGCTAAGAACTGGGTATTAGGCTACGTGATGCCGTGACCGACTTTTGGGAAGCTGTTGTTAGCTACAATAGACATGATTCGGTGGAGCAAAAGCCTTGAAAATCCAGAAAAAGCTCTTCGTATTTTTACAGATGGTTTTAGCATGAACAAGAGAGTGGGACCTCAGTTGATTGTGCCCAAATAGAAATAAAAAGGTAATTCTAACTTTTAAACTATTGCAGTATCTTCCAAAATAAAAGAATTACTGCACAGTGCTGGCTTTCAAATGAATTGCATATGGATTAATATGGATTGGCAAGCGGTCCCCAAGGATTTATTGTGATATCAAACAGCGCATATCCGGCTAAGACTGCACTATGTAAACAGGCGTTAAAAATGCCGTATTAAAATAGAAGAGCTTATATTTACTGGGAGCCAGGTTACAAGGTCATTGAATACAATGTGATAACTGCCAAACTGGCTAAGGAGGTGCCATTTTAAAATACGGCGTATTAAATTATGTGGTAGGTAACCAGTTCTATTCGAAGAAGTGAAGTTAATGCGAATAGATTCTGAAAACGAGCTAAATTTAAAAACTTTTCCCTTATGGCAAAGAGGCCGGTTTCCTGGCTGGTGATAGGACTATGAACGGAGCATTGACATTTGTTGTCGAATGCTTTTAGTATAGGATTGATTGAAGGAAACATGTGCAAAAAATGTAGGGAATGTGCGAATATAGTGGAGCACGTAATCAGTGACTGTCCAGCATTCTGCAGACAAAGGCTATGCAGAAAGACTGCAGAGCTTTCAATGGCTATTAACAAGGGTCCATTTATTTGCGAAATTTGAAATGTTTTTGATGCTAGAGACAAAACAGTGGATGCGGCAGTGCAGCTTGATCATAAGTATTGTAGTAGTCCTGGCAAACACTAAGGATGTAATGTCGTCTATATGCGATCCTGCGGGTCAACAAGTGCAACCTTACATAATCTAGTATAATTGGATGAATTATTTAGTTATTAATTATTTGTTTGGGAAAATATTTACTTCGTTATTTATTTATGACGCTACAAAAAAAACTAAAATAATCGTTAGTTGCCATATTATAATAAAAAAATTTAATAGCAAAAATTATTTAAAAAATAATAATAATATTTAATTAATTATTATTTTCTTTCTTTACAGAACTACAATAAAGGCAACAATTAAAATGTTTAAACAATTATGACAAACGCTACATAAAAACTATACAACCTACAGCTTCCCTTTATCTTCACAATCCCTAATTACATACAAATTACTCCCTAAAAAAATACTGTTAAGCATTTTATTGAAAATAAAAACAACGAAAGTTTACATAAATTAAATAAAAAATAATATTACAATATAAAACAACTAAAAATTTTTTCAGTAATTTCCAAATCCTAAAAATTAATTGAAATTTCAAATATATTCATCTATCTCGTGTTGTGAAGTTGTACCGTTAATTGAAACAACGCCACCGCAGCCGCCATGGGTAAAAAGAGTTCGAAATTGAAACAAGATACCATCGATCGTCTGACGACAGACACATATTGTAAGTATTTGAATAAAATTTCAAAATACATTCTACTATTATATATGTATTTAAAAAAGTAGCCAAACAAAACGGTAATTTCTTTTTTATTATATATATGAGCACGCATGCAGATGTAACCTCAAAAAATGGTAGTAAAAACCATGATAATTTGATAATTTAAATTAAAATAAAGGCTTTCATTTATAATCTTTTTTTTCACTTAAATGATGAAAATCAAATTCATAAATTCCCTTTACTTTGCCGCTGCCACTTAACCACTTAATGCAATGTCAAATGTTTTGGTGTCTGCCAGCATTAATTATGGCTTATTTAACTGTAGTTTTCCAGCAGGTGGTGGTCATAACGGTTGTGTAATTAAATGAATATGCACAGCAGCAATTGACCCCTTTATTGTGCACAGATAGGGCAGATATATGAATTTATTTTTAATTATATACGGAAAAATATAAATAAATTTCGTAGATTTCTGCAATAGCGAGATAACATTTCGCTTATTTAAAATTATTCCATTTAATGTGAAATATGCAATTAATTTAAAATAAACAATAAATTATCATATAATTGTAGTGAAACAATAATTCAAATTAAAAGGGAAAATTCAGTGGATTTACGCACCATTGAATTTTGGGCTGGTGAATTTAAATGTGATTACACTGAGCTTGAAGACGATCCACGCGAAGGACGACCAGAAAACGCAACCACATCAGAACTCATTGAGCCAATTCATATAATTATTAAATTGTTAGTGAAGATTCGGGTTTGACTAAGCATGAAATTTTTCATTTATGAGCCTTTCGCTTATCTCAGCACTCGCTTTTTGTAAATTGGTTTGTATTCAAGACACCTAAGACTTTATATTTGTTTGAGGAAGTTTGGTAATAAAATATTAAAAACTTATCTATCTATCTATCTATCTATTGGATGAATGCATAAGTTGTCTATTGTACATACGTTAGACCGAAAATTTGGAAAAATACTTTTCGGTAAGCTTGAGTTTTATTGTACTCCCATGGGTACAATGGAAATTTGATTCTGCGTTATAATTTTCTTTCAGTTGTGGTGGAAGACTCATCATTTCAGAAGTAATTTTTCAATTATGTTCCAACTGACTTGAACTGCACCATCTCGTTAGTTCAAACCTTGCACTCTGAAACATCGAGAATATCGTTTAAGTAGTCAAAGGTCACATCAGCCGTTTATTCAGAACTTATGTAATTAAAAGTCTGAACAAGTTTAACTACTATATTCATAAAAAGACTGCAGTCTTAAAAGCCGAATGTTTTTTTGGTTTTTGTCAAAAATGATCCAAAAATTTAAAGGCGATAAGGAGCCCCAGTAGTAAATTTATTCTTTTAAGTCGATAGAAGATATGTTTAATCTTCCAATCATCATGGGATAAGCCTCCTCAATACTGCTTATAAGGTCCTGTGGAGCATATTGTGTGAAAGACTGAAGCCCATCGTGGTCAACCATTCACCAGATATTCACCACGCGCCATATCTTGGAAAATACCCGTGAAAAGAGTATCGACACCTCGTCGCTCTACGTCGCTTTTTAAGCAGCCTTCGACAGCGCGATAAGGAGCTGCCTATACGCAGCTATGTCTGAATTTGGTATACCTGCAAACTTACATGGGTGTGTAAACTGAAGTTAAGGTATACTAATGGATCCGTCGGAATTCCTGGAAAAAATAATACGAGCTGCAGAGCTGAATAGAGAAGGTACAATCTTCTACATGAGTGTAAAGTTGCTGGGGAAGGCCGATGATATTGACATTATTGGGAACAACAATAACAATAACGCGCCGTGAGTTCTGATTTCTACAGACTTGATAAGGAAGCGAAGCTAATGGGTCTGGTAGTGAACGAGGGAAAGACAAAATATCTCCTGTTATCATACAAACAGTCATCACATTCGCGACGCGGCACAAACTTGTTCACAGTCAAAATTTTGAAGTCGTAAATACTTTCGCCTATCTAAGAATCAGCAGTAACACCAACAACAATATCTGTCTTGAAATCCAACGCTGAATCACTCTTCCCAACAGGAGCTACTTTGTACTGAGTAGCCGATTGGAAAGTTAAGTCCTCTCCCGACAAACGAAAACCAAACTCTCCAAGTCTCTCATCGTTCCCGTTCTGCTATATGGTGCTGAAGCACGGACGATGACAACATCTGATGAGTCGGCGTTAGAAGATTTCGAGAGAGAGATTTTGATTAAGATTTATGGGCCTTTGCGCATTGGCAATGGCGAATATCGCAGACGATGGAACGATGAGCTGTACGAGTTTTACGTTCATATTGACTAGTTCAGCGAATGAAGAGACAGCGGCTACGCTAGCTAGGTCATCTGGTCCGGATAGATGAAAGCACTCAAGCTTTGAAAATATTCAATGCAGTACTTGACGGAGGAAGGAGAAGACCTCCACTAGAATTCCCACTGCAACGTTATATAAATAGTTGATGAGGAGTATTACCATGTGGTTGAGCGCCGCTTGAGGCAATACGAAAAAAACGCATCAAATAATGAAGAAAGCGGTATACTGCTCTTACATTGGCCCATAATTCACCACATTGGGGCTTTTTTTAGTTCCCAAGATTGAAGAGACACTTGAAGGAACGAAATTAAGCAGTTGAAAGTGCTTAAGAACATATCACGGATTTAATATCACAACTTTTTGAAGAAATAGAAAAGCAAAAATAAATAAATTCTGTTAAAATAAAAATTTCTCAGATCACGCAGTTTTTCATAGTTTTTAGAAGTGCTTGAGGGTGTTATTTCAAAACTTTAAATACAAAAATAATAAAAGTGAAGTTGATACATATTTTATTTTAGGAAAAAAATGTAAAATGGTATTATGCGATGGATTTTAAAAACTAACCAACTAGTAAATTATATAAATTTAAATTTTTAATAAAAGGATATTTTTTTCACTGTATTTGACGTAGGCATTAGACATCAGACACGCAATATTTTGGAGTTTTTTTTACAAAGAACTGGTGACTAAAAACATATGTTTTGGTACCACACAAAAAAAATTGAGAGACCGAGCTATCGTAAGTGAAGCACTTCAGAAATGCAACGAAGTTGATGACAAAGGGGTTAGATATGATAAAGCATTTCAAAGCCTCAATCGGCGACTAGTAAGGGAACGTTAAGTGTATGATGGTGTTGGAAGGGAATCGCCCATTACGAGCTGCTACAAACTGGCGAAATGATCATTTCTGAGCTCTGCTGTCAACAGTAGGCCTGCGTCCTGGATTGATCAGGAAAAAAGAAGTTAAGGTTTATCATTACCACTTCAATTCACATCCATATATAGTTTTGATGCACCATATACGTACAAATATATAAAAGCCCTTTTTATGGTAAAAAAATTGGCTGTCCCATGTTCCGCTGAAAGTCATTTGATCTTGTCAAAAAATGGAAAAGGTCATAGATACTTAAGGTCATATGTACTTTATTAAAATAAAAGAAAAATTTTGTTAAACAATATTTTAAAACAACAAAGATGTGTTGTTTACCTGCATTCAGCGTAGATAAATCTTAAAAACACTGATCATTTCGTTAAAAAAAATTTTCAAAACAATTTCAAATATGAAAATTCGAGAGCGTTACTTTAGAAATTTATTTAATTATTGATAAATTTCATGCCTAAAGCTTATTGGCAAAAGGTTCCCGACTATCTCAGCTTTAAATATGTATATAAAATTTATAAATACAATTTGTTATATATATATATGAAGAGTTTCAAAACCTAATTTAAATTTTTATTTTTTATTTATTATTGTTTTTTTTTCAATTTTATTCCTTTCACATTATGTGGTTAAATTTATTTTTGAAAAATTAAGAATTTTAAAAACAACCAAATCGAAACTTAATTCTTTTTTTGGGTATTATGAAAAATTATTTTAATAAAAAAAATTTAAATTAAAAGTGAAATTACTTAAATAAAAGGTATATATAATGAAAACTATTGGAATATGTTATAATTTTCAACACAAAGCTTAAGGTTGAGTAAGTGAAGCATTAATACAAAAAAAGGAAAAAAATAATGAGAAATCATGCACACATCTGTATGTACAAAGTATTAATTTAAAAATCTTTTAAATAAAAATTGATAGTAAGAATTATGCAAATTATCTAAATCTATATTGGTATAGTAAGAAGAAATCCATTATTTTTCCTATAGCTGCTTATTTATCTGCATCTCGCGTTGTATAAGTTCGATTGGGCTTCGCTAGATGGCGTTAGAAGAAAGAAATTTTGTACTAAAAAAAAACTTTTCTGACAGTTGTGTGATTGGCTTATTAAGATTTGCTTGAGCGTGCGTCAAAGATGGACATTAGTAAGGAAAAAGAAATGGATAAGGGTGAAAACATAAGCCAGGCGGTTAAAAATGGGAATAGCATTTATGATCCTGATACTTTTACAGTCAATCATGCATATATTTCGGTTTCATTCCGGTAGAGTGGAAGGCAATTGTCGAAAATGTCGATAAAATCATGGATATTATCTAGTCAGATCATCATGTAAGCACTGTTTCCGTTTTAAAAGAGCCTAAGATTGGAACCATTTGAATAGGGCTCGATACGAAAGAAAAAAAAATAAACCATTCAATTTAATGAAAAAATAATGGATTACTTATTACTACACTTAATATAAATACGCGAAATTCATGAATATGATTTTACTGCAAAATTTACAGTAAATACGCCCGCCGGCATGTAGCCAACTGCAGAACAAGATACGACAATTGTTTAGTACGTTTCCAGAATCAATGATGTGTAAAAAATTAATGGAAAATAATTTACGAACCCGCGACGGATAAAATCGATAAAATTTTAGTAGCGCCTGAATGTATGCAATGAGTTCTTGAATATATAGAATTAATGTAGAAATGCATGAGGAAGCTATATGTACATACTCATGTATGTACGAGTATCCATAAACTATGAATATTGCAAAATTTTCAAAAATACCGTTATTGCACTTC